TTAAAAAAATATGACGTTTTGGAGTTTTCAGTGACATTAATCCACCGTACCGTAATTGATAAGCCGAACGTGTTCCACAGGAGGAAAGGAAAGTGAACTTAAACCGGAAGTGACATTGTATAGACGCATTGGCTGCCACAAGACAAACACATTTTAGATAAACTGTTTTGCTCGAGATAAATAGCATGAACTCCCTTTTATTATGTGTCATGTACAAATGTATATTATAAGCTATTTCATGGGAGGGTTTTATACCATTTATGTTTGAAGCTGTGAAATACATTCTTTGAAACTTTACTTTCAGATACACTAAAATGTTCTCTTCGTATGTCTTATCACTATGGTAACGCAATCCTATTACATCACATTAGTAGGTTAATTATCTTCTCTGAACTGTGTACGGATCCTAGACAATTACCACTTTTCTTTATCTGGTCTTGTACTTATACCAGACAAAGGACAGTTACAACAACACCTGTATGTCGATAGTGAGATGATTGGCCTGTATTTTGCTACACCATACAATGACATAGGCCTTACACCTTACGGTTGTACTAATTGGTACTAAAAAAGGAGTAATTTAAGAATTGAAAAAGACAGCTAAAATGATGACTCATATTTCAAATAAGTTGTAAATTCCAAAACCCCAATCTTTACAAGTGTATAACATTAAACGACACAAAAGGCATGACTGGAAACACTGGTCATCTCGGCCACAACGATGAAAAGTTCTATAACATTACTGGACACCTGGGACACAATGATACCATATTATATAACATTACAGGACACCTGGGACACAATGGTACCATATTATATAACATTACTAGACACCTGGGACACAATGATGCCATATTATATAACATTACTGGACACCTGGGGCACAATGATACAATATTATATAACATTACTAGACACCTGGGACACAATGGTACCATATTATAAAACATTACTGGACACCTGGGACACAATGATTCCATATTACATAACATTACTGGACACCTGGGACACAATGATACCATAGTATATAACATTACTGGACACCTGGGACATAATGGTACAATATTATATAACATTACTGGACACCTGGGACACAATGGTACCATATTATATAACATTACTAAACACCTGGGACACAATGATACCATATTATATAACATTACTGGACACCTGGGACACAATGGTACCATATTATATAACATTACTGGACACCTGGGACACAATGGTACCATATTATATAACATTACTGGACACCTGGGACAGAATGGTACAATATTATATATCATTACTGGACACCTGGGACACAATGATACCATATTATATAACATTACTGGACCCCTGGGACACAATGATACCATATTATATAACATTACTGGACACCTGGGACACAATGGGACCATATTATATAACATTACTGACCACCTGGGACACAATGGTACCATATTATATAACATTACTGGACACCTGGGACATAATTGTACAATATTATATAACATTACTGGACACCTGGGACACAATGATACACTATTATATAAAGTTCTGGTCACCTAGGACACAATGATACAATATTATATAACATTACTAGACACCTGGGACACAGTGATACAATATTATATAACATAACTGGTCACCTAGGACACAATGATACAATATTATATAACATTACTGGTCACCTAGGACACAGTGATACAATATTATATAACATAACTGGACACCTGGGACACAGTGATACAATATTATATAACATTACTGGACACCTGGGACACAATGGTATCATATTATATAACATTACTGGACACCTTGGACATAATTGTACCATATTATATAGCATTACTTGACTTCTGGGACACAATGGTACGATATTATATAACATAACTGGACACCTAGGACACAATGATACCATATTATATAACATTACTTGACACCTGGGACACAATGGTACGATATTATATAACATAACTGGACACCTAGGACACAATGATACCATATTATATAACATTACTGGCCACCTGGGACACAATGGAATCATATTATATAACATTACTGGACACCTTGGACATAATTGTACCATATTATATAGCATTACTTGACTTCTGGGACACAATGGTACGATATTATATAACATAACTGGACACCTGGGACACAGTGATACAATATTATATAACATTACTGGACACCTGGGACACAATGGTACAATATTATATAACATTACTGGACATCTGGGACACAATGGTACCATATTATATAACATTACTGGACACCTGGGACACAATGGTACAATATTATATAACATTACTGGACATCTGGGGCACAATGATACAATATTATATAACATTACTGGACACCTGGGACACAATGGTATCATATTATATAACATTACTGGACACCTTGGACATAATTGTACCATATTATATAGCATTACTTGACACCTGGGACACAATGGTACGATATTATATAACATAACTGGACACCTAGGACACAATGATACCATATTATATAACATAGCTGGACACCTAGGACACAATGGTACCATATTATATAACATTACTGGACACCTTGGACATAATTGTACCATATTATATAACATTGCTGGACACCTGGGACACAATTGTACCATATTATAAAACATAACGGGACACCTGGGACACAAAGGTACCATATTATATATCATTACTGGACACCTGGGACACAAAGGTACCATATTATATAGCATTTCTTGACACCTGGGCCACAATGTTACGATATTATATAACATTGCTGGACACCTGGGACATAATGGTACCATATTATATAACATTACTGGACACCTGGGACATAATTGTACCATATTATATAGCATTACTTGACACCTGGGACACAATGGTACCATATTATATAACATTACTGGACCCCTGGGACACAATGGTACCATATTATATAACATTACTGACCACCTGGGGCACAATGATTCAATATTATATAACATTACGGGACACCTGGGACACAATGATACAAAGTTCTGGTCACCTAGGTCACAATGATACAATATTATATAACATTACGGGACACCTGGGACACAATGATACAATATTATGTAACATTACGGGACACCTGAGACACAATGATACAATATTATATAAAGTTCTGGTCACCTAGGACACAATGGTACAATATTATATAACATTACTTGTCACCTAGGACACAATGGTACAATATTATATAACATTACTGGAAACCTGGGACACAATGGTACCATATAATATAACATTACTGGACACCTGGGACACAATGGTCCCATATAATATAACATTACTGGACACCTGGGACACAATTGTACCATATTATATAGCATTACTTGACACCTGGGACACAATGGTACCATATAATATAACATTACTGGACCCCTGGGACACAATGATACAATATTATATAACATAACTGGACCCCTGGGACACAATGATACAATATTATATAACATAACTGGACACCTGGGACACAATGATACAATATTATAGAACATAACTGGACTCCTGGGACACAATGATACAATATTATAGAACATAACTGGACTCCTGGGACACAATGATACAATATTATATAAAGTTCTTGTCACCTAGGACACAATGATACCATATTATATAACATCACTGGACACCTGGGACACAATGGTACCATATAATATAACATTACTGGACACCTGGGACATAATTGTACCATATTATATAGCATTACTTGACACCTGGGACGACACAATGATACCATATTATATAACATTACTGGACACCTGGGACACAATGATACAATATTATATAACATTACTGGACACCTGGAACACAATGATACAATATTATATAACATTACTGGATACCTGGGACACAATGTTACAATATTATATAACGTTACTGGACACCTGGAACACAATGGTACCATATTATATATCATTACTGAACACCTGGGACGCAATGGTACAATATTATATAACATTACTTGTCACCTAGGACACAATGGTACAATATTATATAACATTACTTGACACATTAGGTATATTTATGCAATATTTTGGTAATATTACATAACACCACCTGTTAAGTGATACTATATAAATATCACATTCATGAGAGGGCGATATTGCATATTTTCACCCCAAGGAAGCATTGTTAACCGAGGCGAAGCCGAGGTCAACAATGCTTTCCGAGGGGTGAAAATATGCAATATCGCCCTCTCATGAATGTGATTTTTATTTTATTATACCGAGTGTCATGTTTAGGTGTTTCACCACTTCACCATTTTTAAAGGTCTTTGTGTTGATTTGACATAAACCAAGACTTCATCTCAACAGTTGTCGAATGAACCAACCATGAATGTGATTTGATAACACCCTGGCACTGGGACGAATCTTGCACGCATACGTTTCGCACATGTAACAATATTTGGAATAACACCCTGTCACTGGGACGAACCGTGCACGGATACGTTTGGCGCATGTGATATTTTTTGGAATGTCCCCCTGTCTTCTTTATCTTTGGAAAACGAGCAAGTAACATTGAAAATGTTCACATCTTTCTCAACCAATCAGATTACGAGATTTTAACAGAAGGTATAATAAAACACATTATCACATTATTCGGCATGTATCTTTTGTACGATACATTGCTGATACAATAAGTAACACTATAATCATGGCGAAGATATTGCCAAGGTCAAGGAATTCAAAATACTTCTGTATCATTAAGTACGATACAGCTTTCAAGAATAATTACTATTTAGATGAATATGATTTAAAATGAAGGCAAGAAGGCTTCCACATACTAAACGAGACCGTCATTAAATACAAGTGGGCAATATCAGAATCAATAGGTATTTATAGAACATGAAATCCGATAGCTCTTCAGAACGTTCATATCAGGGTTTACGGCACTTGTAAAATGGTTAATGGTTCAAGGTTGAAGGGTCTAGACTCTGTGTTGTACAGCGAGTACGGCTTGTCACGTGACACGTCCTTTACGCGAGGGGGAACTTACTTGGTGTGGGAGTTGTTGTGGTCACTCTATTTTCGTCGGCCAGGTTGTCGATTGTATCGGACAAGGCGGAGATAGAAGTGTTCAAACTATCAACGTTGGTCGATACTTCTTCTAAAACTTCGGAAACGTCATCAAACTTGTTCTGCAATGTAGCAGTACTGTTTTCCAAAGATAACAAGAAGCTTGCTTCAAACAGCAATTGATTTGAAGCCATTTGCTTCATATCAACTTGTAGTGTTTGTATTTCAAATTTGAGTTGAGCAATGGCCTCCTCCATTCCGTCATTGTTCGGCAAACGCGTGTCGCAACCGCTGCAACCGCCCGGTGTCCTGCCTTTTAGCTCTTCTCTGAGAGTTTGTCCTAGAATTTTAAAATCCAAATCTATTTTTCTCTCCAAAAGTCTGAATTTTGCGTTAAACATCCTAAACCAGCTTGCAGTTACCGCATCGTTTTGTGGTTTGTCTTTAGGAAAACCACTTGGTTTTGAGGTTGTACTCCATATACATGTCATTAGCACTACCCATCGTAAAACACCAAACATTAGCCCTGCCATTGCCTCAAAGTGCGGGCAGCTGCTAAAAGTATTGTACCTCCTCCTTCGAGACCGTTTTATCACGTGTGATGGTGAGCAGGGCGCTGGGACGCTTTATACGACTAGCTAACCCCAGCGCTAAGTGTGCTGAAACAGCCCAGGAAAACCATCCTTATAAACTCTCACACTACATAACCACTTTTCTACTAAATTTATACACATTACCACGAGTGACTTGCCTCACAGGCTATAAGGGTGATAAAGAAAACATGCTCTGTCGTCAATTGGATTGAAATTGTAGACCTTCCTACCATGAGGCTAATTATCTTACTTACATTAAATATCCCGGTCACAAAAATGTTTGTTTTAACAGCTGATTATCAAAGATACTTGAATCAGATACAGAGTCGTTAGTCGGTAATCAAATTTCCTCAGTCAGTTTTGTTCATGGAACGGTTTTATGAATATGTCTTGTAAACAGTTTCCGTTATTAGTGAGTTTTTAGAAGCATGCAGACGTTCTTTATAGGTGTACCACTTACGGTGGTTAACTAATTACACCAGCACTACACACATTTATCTGTACGTCTGCGCATTTTATCAGACACAACAACATATTTTATGGCTGGAGTTTTCGTAAAAACTAATGACTGTTTCATCTTTTAACATACGCTTATGTATTACAGAAACAAGTCATAGGATCACACAAATATTAAAATTTCCCCGCGATAAGTTAAGTTGTGTATGCCTATTTGACAGCTTTACCTGCTGTTTGTGACTTTTTACATTGGAATAATTTCAAACGTGGTGTCCTATTTATTACGCTTGATGTAATTGTTTCCTGTTCAATTTTGCAAGTTCTGGAATCAGCGTGTCACAGTCTGTAAATGGGGCGACATCCAGCTTGAATGTCGAATGGTGTACATATATAGTTGTCAAACCACGATAACATTTAAGTCAGCCGTGCACAAAGTGTGGAGGATAGCTTTACTTTAATTTTAGTGACCAGAATTCTTTTCTATAATAGTATTACTTGTAATGTTCCGCCATCATCTCCCACTGATAATGTAGTTTGTAATGTCTGTGTACCGCATACCTTCCTTGTATCTAGAACCGTTTGAAATATTTCTGTTTCGTCATCCTCTCCTTTGTCTGTATCTAGTAGTGTTTGCATTATACTAATTACTCTGAGTTTTACGCCTTTTTATCTACTATATTAAATATAACCGTCACTGTAGGAATACACGAACTACAATTCATGTGTTGTAAAGCGCCTTAGAGCATTTTTTACAAATTATATAGGGCGCTAAATAAATATTGTATATTTGTATATTATTATTACACTATAGCAACCTCTTATAAAACATCATGTACCCATTACATTATACATTTATTTGAATATACCTATATCTATAATATCATGACAAATAATGTACACACTACAAATTGAACAGAACAAAATGGTGGATAAAGCAACGTTTTTGTTTCAGTTCAGCGATGATATAATATAAACTTTATTTATTTTACAACAATTATTTTAACTTATAATAATCACTCTTGTTGGTCTGGATGTTAGTGTGCGGGGGTCTTCAACCCGGAGAAAACCCACATGATCGGACAGGTGACCCCATACTTTTTCACGTTCGATCGGGGATTCGAACCACGGCCGCCTTGGTGAAAAGCAAGTGCGCTATCCACTGCGTCACCCGACCATTCATAGTTCAGCGATGATAACCAATGAGTTCGAGTCAGCAAAAAGGAGACCCGTCGACCTCCTCGATACCACATTTCGTTTTACATGTATGTACCATGATAACAATATTAATTGGTATATTATAAAATATTTCATTTGCATTTTTTACCAGTGAAATATCAGAATTATAAAAAGTGGATAGTTAATGGTGTCTTCAGTAATAACAAATATATTTCACGAGTGTGGCTAATATTTTGATGTCTTTCACGAGTACGCACATAAGCCACACGGGTGAAATATATTTGTTATTTCTGAAGACACCATTATTTTCTATTTATTACATTTTTAAAGCATTAAAAATGTTATGCATTAAAAAAGGGCGGGAATCAGAGCCGTAATAATTAGCGCCATATTCTAATGACGTCAAGCTTGACAGCAAAGGCTGCGCGCCATTTTGAATGGGATACTCAACTCAATTCCGACGTTTTCTGCTATTTTCTGTTATGATTACTTATACACACTGTGAAAATATCACTTTTGATATTTGTCACGGTGTTCAAGATATCAGTTTTATCAAGTTGATAGAATCTGATATTTCACTGGCAAAAATGTTATATGTATCAATTTGGTAAAGCCTATATCTTAACTGCAGTAAACCCGCTACCTTCGAGGTATGAACGAACGATAAGCGCTTGTTTTCCGTTTGTGTCTCTTCCCGGGTATGAGACTGACAGATGCTGTCTTATTTACGTCAACATATGTCTGTTTTTCGGCGTTTTGGACATTTTCGCCATTTCGTCACTTATATATACATGTACTTGTAATACTGATTTCTCTTAATCTCACTAAATTTTGATAATATGTCTTTCACAAGAACATATATTAACCTATTAAACAGATGTTTCGATGAATTTTACTTCATCATCACCAGACGAAACTCGTGTCTTTTTTTCCAGCTTCGGCAGTTGTATTACAATCTCTTTGTCGTTGGTCGCACACAACTAGTCAACAATTGTTTCATGGCTATTTTGGGAGCAGTCAAAACTACCATCCCGAAGTAGAGGGAAGCCCTGTGGAACTGTTTGCCCGAGGCCGAGGGCAAACAGTTCCACAGAGCTTCCTCCTTCATAGGGGTGGCAGGCCTAGTTTTGACTGTTCCCCAAATAGCATTGAAACAATTACCCAAATACCCGGGTAACAGTTCGCTCTGAGCGGTTTTGACTGTTTCACCCCTACAGCCGAAATTGGACAACAAGCCAGAAAAATGGTAAATAATGACTAATTATAAAACATCTAGACTTTTGGGTAATAATATCATGTGACAACGATGTAGTCCATGTCAATTCTGATGGCTATGACTGATAAGCATTACAGGAATGGTAAAACCTAGCTCTAATTTAGAAGAGGAATCACATATTATTATGACACCGGACAAAGTTTCTATTTGAATGAGACGTCGTAATGACGCCATTAAAACTCACGATTTACTTTATAACATTTCCAATGGCAGATATAATCTAAATATAAGAACATCATCATAATAAAGCAAGTACCCTTGGGTCTCAGACTATTGTTTCCAGTTCTTGACTCCTCAATTATTAAGACAGTTTTGTTTTCCAGTTATTGTATCGGCGTTTTGTTTATGGAAAGCTGGTGTGGATTTCCACATCATTCTTTCGTGAACCGCTTGATAGTCGATTACTTCCGGTTCATTGTCCCGAACTCATACTTTGCCCTGGACATTGTACGTATCTCTCTTATCAATGTCACAAGCATCAAACAATAAATTCTGCCTTCCTTGTTCATACTGGGAACATGAATGTCTCGATTTCACATCTACATCCTAGTGGTATCCTAATTGCCTCCATCCTGTCCTGTCGAAGTTTACCGACGGCTGTGTAGTACTGTTAAACATTATAACAACACACTACGTTGAGAATGTCAAGAACACATTTGCAGGTCGCCCTATCGATATCACAGATGTATTGTACTGCTAAGGTATATTGTTATACAAACATAACATTTATTTAATGTGTTCCAATGCCATAAAATACTTGGTAGCTTATATCTTAATAGGCCTTTTTTAAATTCATCGAAATGCATAAAAAAAACATAAAAACATAAATCTGCATTAAAATTATTTTTAGTAAATTTGTCTTAAAAGAAAACATCTTGACGAAAGATCCATTGGTTTTACAAATGAAATTCTACCTTGTTATTTTTTCATCCTGTCGGATATATGTTTTTGCTTGTGAGAAGGATTTGGTGTTTGTTTATGCAATCGGTCTGGTCTCCAATTAGTCTCGTTCACAGGGTTCCCACTTGTTATGGTATTCCAAGGCAAGACCTGTTCCCGGGGAAATCATTAGTCATGGATGTGACTACCCACGGCGAGGTTCGAATAGCCGATTTCGGTACAGAATTCCCAGTGCTATTTGAGTGTACCGTCATAGCGTTACTATTGCCATAAATCTAAGCTTTACCAATAAGATATCGTCCAGCAGATACTACAATTTACCAGAGCCAACAGATTTGATGTCTCCTCTTGGGATATGCGGGTATGAAGTGATAACCTTAACCTCTTTAAAGCATCACAAACACGTATTCTTCACCCTCGGGATATTCGCTTATATACTTAGTACTGCTTATAAACTTATATTTACCTTAACTTCGCGGACAAGTCTTTTCTCAGGATTGTGTTTCAAGCTATTTTATTCGCAAAACTTTGAAGATAACCTAAGAAAGATTCATTGTTCAAATGTACTCTTTAACAGGATATTTCTCATTCACGGACGGTGTTCCTCGAGATGTTACACGAAAATAAAAACCTCGCGATATTGAAATATTTTGCAGTACCTATGAATTAAGTCCACACATTAGCGACTTCTGTAAACGAGGGAACATATCGTGTCATAGTTGCTGAATAGTCAATCAAAATTAAATCTTAAAATGACAGTGACTTTCAGGCTCTCTAGATTCTCGCATTATAACTTGATGATATGGGCAATTATGTGTGTGTGTATTAAGCGCTTATGTATCCAATGGTTTGTCAGCTGAGACCCATACTTCTCAAATATCTGATGGTTAGATAGATGATGTGTGTAGGTATCTGATGGTTGGACAAATGAAGTGTGTAGGTATCTGATGGTTGGACAGATGATGTGTCCATGTATCTGATGGTTGAACAGATGAGGTGTTTAGGGATCTGATGGTTGGACAGATGATGTGTCTAGGTATCTGATGGTTGGACAGATGAGGTGTCTAGGTATCTGATGGTTGGACTGACGGTGTGTCAAGGTATCTGATGGTTGGACAGATGATGTGTCTAGGTATCTGATGGTTGGACAGATGATGTGTCTAGGTATCTGATGGTTGGACAAATGAAATGTGTAGGTATCTGATGGTTGGATAGATGATGTGTCCATGTATCTGATGGTTGAACAGATGATGTGTTTAGGGATCTGATGGTTGGACAGATGATGTGTGTAGGTATCTGATGGTTGGACAGATGTGGTGTCTAGGTATCTGATGGTTGGACTGACGATGTGTCAAGTTATCTGATGGTTGGACGGATGATGTGTCTAGGTATCTAATGGTTGAACAAATCATGTGTCTAGGTATCTGATGGTTGAACAGATCATGTGTCCATGTATCTGATGGTTGAACAGATGAGGTGGTTATGTATCTGATGGTCGGACAGATGATGTGTCTAGGTATCTGATGGTTGGACAGATGAAGTGTCTAGGTATCTGATGGTTGGACAGATGATGTGTCTATGTATCTGATGGTTGGACAGATGATGTGTCTAGGTATCTGATGGTTGGACAGATGATGTGTCTATGTATCTTATGGTTGGACAGATGATGTGTCTATGTATCTGATGGTTGAACAGATGATGTGTCTAGGTATCTGATGGTTGGACAGATGATGTGTGTAGGTATCTGATGGTTGGACAGATGATGTGTCTAGGTATATGATGGTTGGACAGATCATGTGTCTAGGTATTTGATGGTTGGACAGATCATGTGTCTAGGTATCTGATGGTTGGACAGATAATGTGTCTAGGTATTTGATGGTTGGACAGATCATGTGTCTAGGTATCTGATGGTTGAACAGATAAGGTGTTTAGGTATCTGATGGTTGGACAGATGATGTGTCTGGGTATCTGATGGTACGACATATCATGTGTCTAAGTATCTGATGGTTGAACAGATGATGTGTCTAGGTATCTGATGGTTAACAGATGATGTGTCTAGGTATCTGATGGTTGAACAGATGATATGTCTAAATATCTGATGGTTGGGCAGATGATGTGTCTGGGTATCTGATGGTTGAACAAATGATGTGTCTAGGTATCTGATGGTTGAACAGATAAGGTGTTTAGGTATCTGATGGTCGGACAGATCATGTGTCTAGGTATCTGATGGGTGAACAGATGATGTGTCTAGGTATCTGATGGTTGGACAGATGATGTGTCAAGGTATCTGATGGTCGGACAGATCATGTGTCTAGGTATCTGATGGTTGGACAGATAATGTGTCTAGGTATCTGATGGTTGGACATATGATGTGTTTAGGTATCTTATGTTTGGATAGATGATGTGTCTAGGTATCTGATGGTTGGACAAATGAAATGTGTAGGTATCTGATGGTTGGACAGATGATGTCCATGTATCTGATGGTTGAACAGATGATGTGTTTAGGGATCTGATGGTTGGATAGATGATGTATCTAGGCATCTGATGGTTGGACTGACGATGTGTCAATTTATCTGATGGTTGGACGGATGATGTGTCTAGGTATCTAATGGTTGAACAAAGCATGTGTCTAGGTATCTGATGGTTGGACATATGATGTCCATGTATCTGATGGTTGAACAGATGATGTGTCTTGGTATATAATGCTTGAACAGATGATGTGTCTAGGTATCTGATGGTTGAACAAATCATGTGTCTAGGTATCTGATGGTTGGACAGATCATGTGTCTAGGTATCTGATGGTTGGACATATGATGTGTCTAGGTATCTGATGGTTGGACAGATGATGTGTCTATGTATCTGATGGTTGAACAGAGAAAGTGTTTAGGTATCTGATGGTTGGACAGATGATGTGTCTAGGTATCTGATGGTTGAACAGATGATGTGTCTTGGTATATAATGCTTGAACAGATGACGTGTCTAGGTATCTGATGGTTGGACAGATGATGTGTCTAGGTTTCTGATGGTTGGACAGATGATGTGTCTAGATTTCTGATGGTTGGACAGATGATGTGTCTAGGTATCTGATGTTTGGGCAGATGATGTGTCTAGGTATCTGATGGTTGGACAGATGATATGGGTAGGTATCTGATGGTTGAACAGATGAGGTGTTTATGTATCTGATGGTGAACAGATGATGTGTCCATGTATCTGATGGTTGGACAGATGATGTGTCCATGTATTTGATGGTTGAACAGATGAGGTGTTTATGTATCTGATGGTGAACAGATGATGTGTCTATGTAGCTGATGGTTGGACAGATGATGTGTCTATGTATCTGATGGTTGGACAGATGAGGTGTCTAGGTATATGATGGTTGGACAGATGATGTGTCTATGTATCTGATGGTTGGACAGGTGATGTGTCTAGGTTTCGTCTAGGTATCTGATGGTTGGGCAGATGATGTGTCTATGTAGCTGATGGTTGGGCAGATGAGGAGTCTAGGTATCTGATGGTTGGACAGATGATGTGTCTATGTATCTGATGGTTGGACAGATAATGTGTCTATGTATCTGATGGTTGGACAGTTGAGGTGTCTAGGTATCTGATGGTTGGACAGATGATGTGTATAGGTATATTAATTGTTTATATATCTAGTGGTTGTAAAGATTAATTATGTGTATATCTAGTGGCTGTACAGATTATTTGTGTGTATATCAAGTGACTGTGAAGATTAATCGTCTGAGCAGTTTATGGCTTTATGTTTTGGTGGGAATGCACAGCGAAGCTGATTAAAAAGTGGTAAAATGTTTGCAGTGATTAGAAGTTATCATCATACTTCTTAATACATCACCGTTCTGGATCTTACAAATACAGGAACGTGTATCTTATAAATAGATATTTAAAGCTATTGCATTACTAATGCCAAAAGGAAGAAAAACGACTGTCCCGTTTACAGACTAAGATTGTTTAGGACCAAGAGATAAGAAAAGCTGTGATAATTTCAAGAAGAAAACATGAATACTTGTATATGGTTCTTTCTCGTCAGGGTTAGTTAGTGTCGGATGTTTACTTTACTTTGTCCTCCTATTTAGATAATTACAACTATGTTTTCATCTCATAAACCTCTTACGTTTAAAGATAACAAAGACAGCAATGATTTAAGAACATATAATTTATTCTTAAAACATCTTAATATGACTTGGCCTTTTTTATCCTGATGTGTATCAAATGTGTGTCAAATCGGCTGTGAGAACGTACCATTACAGCTGCAAACACTTTTGGTGAAAATGTTGGCGAATCATCTCCAAAGACTCATAGGAATCTGCGCTTTTACACCCTCGGGGAAGGCCGTGGAGACACGCGACGAAGGTAGGATAGGTTTTTCTGTAACGAAAATACAACAAACAGGACAATGCTAATTAGTTGATTGCAATATTATGTTACATGAATCAATGATGGTTTAACTAACATGTAGCTTTAAAATTGGTGAATCGGAATCGGAATATTACATTAAAGTATCATTCCGTTCTCAGATTCAGATTCAGATTCCTTATCAATTCTCCTTAAAACCAAGGAGCTGATCACAGAAGAGTCGACATAGGTTCCACTTCCCTGTACATTGTTTATATACGTACTGACACATGGCGACGACAACTCTACCCGTCCCTGTCAGTAGATGTCTGAAACTGGCAATATGCTCTGAACATCTGTCAACTTCTGCAAGGTCGCAAATCATCTCTTTTTCGGTCCCACCTTTTTAATGAAAACAAAACACAAATTTCTATTGTAACAAGTTCAAGTTCAAGTTCAATTTGTTTATTTAAGTGTCACATATCACAATTACATTTATGTTCATTAATACATATAAAATACTTGTACAAAATATAAATCAATTCCATTGGTACATATAAAATACTTTTGGCTGTTTCCTAGAACTTAAAATAGTTTGTATTAACCACTTGTAATAGGGATCAATATGTAACAATGCGACCATAGCATTACCAATATACTACTTATAACATCTTAATATCCTCAACTCTGAGGTATTATAACTGAGCAATGGGTAAGTCAGGGAAGCGTCAACTATTGGATCTGTGGAAGTGTCAAGAAAGAGCATAGCTACAATTTTATGTAGTGGTTTTACCTTCTCACATATTGTCAGTAGCATTTCACTACTAACATATGAAACTTCATTGGGGTGTTTTAGAATCAAAGAAATGCTGAACATGATAATTAACCGAATGTATATAGTTATTTCTTTCCTTTCATTTGATGGTAGGTATGAGGTTTATTTGATTAACAGATAGGTAAAAGGTAGGATCAGTGTGTACAATTTTGGAAGTTATATGTGAAAATAACACAGTATGTGCATTATTTAAAGGCGATTCGAGACGCCCATGTACATTGTATGTATATATGTTTATATCACAAAATTTTGGAAAATATAATTTTAAAAAAAGGAGGTATTCATGAACTCTTCTAAAACATTCATAGCGAATATGTTATGACTATACAAATCCAACTTTCAGTCAATATACATAGTGATATCCATTATTGACCACTGTTTTAACTGTAATTACTGAACATGGAGTGACCAGTGGGAACAAACCTGTAATAGAGGTCGACCTATCTGATGTAAATGGTTCGCATCTAACGCTAGCTGTCTCTGCTTGTCCACAGTTAGTGTACGCCAGGACTCCAAACTGACAATCCTCCAGTTTAGCTTCCTTACCGGTACAGGAAACGTTGACTAGTACCATAGAGCTAAAGCCCTTGCCAAAGTAAGATCCGAGCACGGGTTTACCTCCACTACATAACAAACAGCGTATAAGTTTAGACTGAGTATTGGGTCATCTCCGCTACATAACAAACAGCGTATAAGTTTAGACTGAGTATGGGGTCAGCTTCGCTACAGAACAAACAGAGTATAATCATAGACTGAGTATGGGGTCAGCTTCGCTACAGAACAAACATAGTATAAGTTGAGACTCAGTATGGGGTCAGCTTCGCTACAGAACAAACAGAGTATAATCATAGACTGAGTTTGGGGTCAGCTTCGCTACAGAACATACAGAGTATTATCATAGACTGAGTATGGGGTCAACTTCGCTACAGAACATAGTACAAGCATAGACTGAGTAGGGGGGCATCTCCGCTACATAACAAACAGAGTATAAGCTTAGACTGAGTATGGGGTCATCTTCGCTACGTAACAAACATAGTATAGGCATAGACTGAGTATGGGGTCAGCTTCGCTACAGAACAAACATAGTATAAGTTTAGACTCAGCATGGGGTTATCTCCGCTACATAACAAACAGAGTATAAGCATAGACTGAGTATGGGGTCATCTTCGCTACATAACAAACATAGTATAAGCATAGACTGAGTATGGGGTCAGCTTCGCTACAGAACATACAGAGTATAATCATAGACTGAGTATGGGGTCAGCTTCGCTACAGAACATAGTACAAGCATAGACTGAGTAGGGGGTCATCTCCGCTACAGAACAAACATAGTATACGTTTAGACTCAGCATGGGGTTATCTCCGCTACATAACAAACAGAGTATAAGTTTAGACTGAGTATGTGGTCATCTCCGCTACAGAACAAACAGAGTATAATCATAGACTGAGTATGGGGTCAGCTTCGCTACAGAACATACAGAGTATTATCATAGACTGAGTATGGGGTCAGCTCCGCTACAGAACATAGTACAAGCATAGACTGAGTAGGGGGTCATCTCCGCTACATAACAAACAGAGTATAAGTTTAGACTGAGTATGTGGTCATCTTCGCTACATAACAAAAAGAGTATAAGCATAGACTGAGCATGGGGTTATCTCGGCTACATAACAAACAGAGTATAAGCATAGACTGTGTATGGGGTCATCTCCGCTACATAACAAACAGAGTATAAGTTTAGACTGAGCATGGAGTCACCTCCGCTACATAACAAACAGAGTACAAGTTTAGACTGAGTATGTGGTCATCTCCGCTACATAACAAAAAGAGTATAAGCAAAGACTGAGCATGGGGTCATCTCCGCTACGGAATCGAGTATTGGCATAGAATGAGTATGGGTTCATCTTCGCTACAGAACAAACAGAGTATAAGTTTAGACTAAGCATGGAGTCATCTCCGCTACAGAACAGACTAAAGGTTACTCCTCGGTTAGTAGGACGTTAAACAGAATAAAACTTGAAATACAAACAACACATAAACTTAGTTATTATTGCATCTCAGTCTCGGCAATGGGTCGTATGCAGCGAGTTCAAAACTCGCCCATCATCTGCACTAGAACAGTTACTTAGTTAACCTCTTGGTATTTATGTTAAAGGAGCTCGTCACCCTGTATCAGCCTCTACGATCACTGGTGTTGGAGGCAGAAACCTGCTGTGTGTTTGAAATTCTGGTTCAGCGACTTATGGTGACAAATGTGTGTTGCAGCCACGCTGTGAAACTGCCTTCCATCTGATATCACACATATCAAACACTCTCCCGATTCCGAGAACTTTTTTAACATCCATCTGTTCAAGTAAGCGTTTTTGTACATATTTTCATTAGTTTAAGAGGTAACAGTTATGTTCCTGTAAATGGAGAGGAGGTATTCATTTTTAGATGCGGGGAAGTAGAAGTGAATAACTATGAGACGTTCTATTCTTCTCCCTTTAATGTTATTTGTGTATGTTTACACGATGACTGAATGCACTTAAATGACAATTAAATATACACATATTCGTAAAGTAATGACAACTGATTAATTTGTAAAAGGCATTGTAAATCGCCTCACGGTACACTATCAATATCTGTTATAGGCTTCATTACATTCTGTAACAGGTGTTACAATTAATTTCCAAAAAAAATGAACCTTTGTTTTATATAACAGTTGTATCCATGTAAATCCGTTCTACGTAACGTTTAGAAACCTGAAGCTGTTCTATATAACATGTACATACCTGAAACCTGAAGCCTGAAGCCTAGTTCTATGTAACATGTACATACCTGAAGCCTGAAGCCTAGTTCTATGTAACATGTACATACCTGAAGTCTATAACATGTACATACCTACCTGTAGCCTAGTTCTATGTAACATGTACATACCTGAAGCCTGAAGCCTAGTTCTATGTAACATGTACATACCTGAAGCCTGAAGCCTAGTTCTATGTAACATGTACATACCTGAAGCATGAAGCTGTTCTATATATATGTAACATGTACATACCTGTAGCCTAGTTCTATATAACATGTGCATACCTGAAGCGTAGTTCGATGTAACATATACATACCTACGGCTAGTTCTATGAAACATGTACATACCTGAAGTCTATAACATGTACATACCTGAAGTATATAACATGTACATACATACCTGTAGCCTAGTTCTATGTAACATGTACATACCTGGAGCCTGAAGCTGTTCTATATAACATGTACATACCTGAAGTCTAGTTCTATGTACCTTGTACACACCTACCTGTAGCCTAGTTCTATATAACATGTACGTACCTGAAGTCTAGTTCTATATACAATGTAACATGTACGTACCTGAAGCCTAGTTCTATATAACATGTACATACCTGAAGTCTAGTTCTTTATAACATGTGCATACCTGAAGCGTAGTTTATGTAACATATACATACCTAAGGCTAGTTCTATATAACCCGTACCTACCTGAAGCCTAGTTCTATATAACACGTACCTACCTGAAGCCTAATTCTATATAACATGTGCCTACCTGAAGCCTAGTTATATATAACCCGTACCTAGTCTAGTTCTATATAACATGTGCATACCTGAAGCGTAGTTTATGTAACATATACATCCCTAAGGCTAGTTCTATATAACCCGTACCTACCCGAAGCCTAGTTCTATATAACCCGTACCTACCTGAACCCTAGTTCTATATAACCCGTACCTACCTGAACCCTAGTTCTATATAACCCGTACCTACCTGAAGCCTAGTTCTATATAACATGTACATACCTGAAGTCTAGTTCTATATAACATGTGCATACCTGAAGCGTAGTTTATGTAACATATACATACCTGAAGCCTAGTTCTATATAACCCGTACCTACCTGAAGACTAGTTCTATGTAACATGTACATACCTGAAGCCTGAAGCCTAGTTCTATGTAACATGTACATACCTACCTGAAGCCTAGTTCTATATAAACCGTACCTACCTGAAGCCTAGTCCTATATAACCCGTACCTACCTGAAGCCTAATCCTATATAACATGTACCTACCTGAAGCCTAGTTATATATAACCTGTACCTCCCTGAAGCCAAGTTCTATATAACCTGTACCTACCTGAAGCCTAGTTCTATATAACCTGTACCTACCTGAAGCCTAGTTCTATGTAACAGGTACATACCTACCTGAAGCCTAGTTCTATATAACATGTACATACCTGAAGGCTAGTTCTATATAACATGTGCATACCTGAAGCGTATTTTATGTAACATATACATACCTGAAGCCTAGTTCTATATAACCCGTCCCTACCTGAAGCCCAGTTCTATATACCGCGTACCTACCTGAAGCCTAGTTCTATATAACCTGTACCTCCCTGAAGCCTAGTTCTATATAACCCGTACATACCTGAAGCCTAGTTCTATATAACCCGTGCCTCCCTGAAGCCTAGTTCTATATAACCCGTACTTACCTGAAGCCGAATTCTATATAACATGTACCTACCTGAAGCCTAGTTATATATAACCTGTACCTCCCTGAAGCCAAGTTCTATATAACCTGTACCTACCTGAAGCCTAGTTCTATGTAACAGGTACATACCTACCTGAAGCCTAGTTCTATATAACCCGTGCCTCCCTGAAGCCTAGTTCTATATAACCCGTACCTCCCTGAAGCCTAGTTCTATATAACCCGTACCGGCCTGAAGCCGAGTTCTTTATAGCCCGTATCTACCTGAAGCCTAGTTCTATATAGCCCGTACCTACCTGAAGTCTAGTTCTATATAACCCGTACCTACCTGAAGACTAGTTCTATGTAACATGTACATACCTACCTGAAGCCTAGTTCTATATAACATGTACATACCTGAAGGCTAGTTCTATATAACATGTGCATACCTGAAGCGTAGCTTATGTAACATATACATACCTGAAGCCTAGTTCTATATAACCCGTATCTACCTGAATCCTAGTTCTATATAACCCGTACCTACCTGGAGCCTAGTTCTATATAACCCGTACCTACCTAAAGCCTAGTTCTATATAACCCGTACCTACCTGGAGCCTAGTTCTATATAACCCGTACCTACCTAAAGCCTAGTTCTATATAACCCGTACCAACCTGAAGCCTAGTTATATATAACCCGTACCTACCTGAAGCCTACCTGAAGCCTAGTTCTATATAACCCGCACCTACCTGAAGCCTAGTTCTATATAACCTGTACCTACCTGAAGCCTAGTTCTATGTAACATGTACATACCTGAAGCCTGAAGCCTAGTTCTATGTAACATGTACATACCTACCTGAAGCCTAGTTCTATATAACCAGTACCTACCTGAAGCCTAGTTCTATATAACATGTACATACCTGAAGGCTAGTTCTATATAACATGTGCATACCTGAAGCGTATTTTATGTAACATATACATACCTGAAGCCTAGTTCTATATAACCAGTACCTACCTGAAGCCTAGTTCTATATAACATGTACATACCTGAAGGCTAGTTCTATATAACATGTGCATACCTGAAGCGTATTTTATGTAACATATACATACCTGAAGCCTAGTTCTATATAACCCGTACCAACCTGAAGCCTAGTTATATATAACCCGTACGTACCTGAAGCCTAGTTCCCTGCAGACAACTACAGCTTCCCTGACATCCCAGTGATCGTCACATATATGACTCCACGCATGGTTGAAGTCTAGTTCTTTATAACATGTGCATACCTGAATCGTAGTTTATATAACATAAGCCTACCTGAAGCCTAGTTCTATATAACCCGCACCTACCTGAAGCCTAGTTCTATATAACCCGTTCCTACCTGAAGCCTAGTTATATATAACCCGTACCTACCTGAAGCCTACCTGAAGCCTAGTTCTATATAACCCGCACCTACCTGAAGCCTAGTTCTATATAACCTGTACCTCCCTGAAGCCTAGTTCTATATAACCCGTACATACCTGAAGCCTAGTTATATATAACCCGTACCTCCCTGAAGCCTAGTTATATATAACCCGTACGTACCTGAAGCCTAGTTCCCTGCAGACAACTACAGCGTCCCTGACATCCCAGTGATCGTCACATATATGACTCCACGCATGGTTGAAGTCTAGTTCTTTATAACATGTGCATACCTGAAGCGTAGTTTATGTAACATATACCTACCTGAAGCCTAGTGCTATATAACCCGTACCTACCTGAAGCCTACCTGAAGCCTAGTTCTATATAACCCGTCCCTACCTGAAACCTAGTTCTATATAACCCGTACCTACCTGGAGCCTAGTTCTATATAACCCGTACCTACCTCAAGCCTAGTTCTATATAACCCGTACCTACCTGGAGCCTAGTTCTATATAACCCGTACCTACCTAAAGCCTAGTTCTATATAACCCGTACCTACCTAAAGCCTAGTTCTATATAACCCGTACCTACCTAAAGCCTAGTTCTATATAACCCGTACCAACCTGAAGCCTAGTTATATATAACCCGTACCTACCTGAAGCCTAGTTCCCTGCAGACAACTACAGCGTCCCTGACATCCCAGTGATCGTCACATATATGACTCCACGCATGGTCGTGGTAAGCTTCTACTCGCCCTTCGTTCGGTGTGGTACCGTCAACCAGACGGATATTTCCTAAAAAATTCAGATGTTGACAAGGTGCATGAAATAACTAAACTAAATCTTTATTTTATTTAGATTTTCAATAATTGCTTTAAGACTGCGATAACCAATTATATCACGAACCACACATCTCACGGCAAAGTGCATATCATGATATCGACAAACCGAACCGGGCAAATATGGGAACATGATTGTAACTAATGCAGAATGAATTTAGTGTAAGATTTATCCTTGTTAAGAAGGATTCTACAGGTATCTATGCATTTCTTTTATAGAAGACAAAGTTAGGTTAGAAGGAGTTACTACGAGTCCAAAAACTGTATATTTGAACGAATGAGCATAGTGCAATTCACGTAATTTAGTATATGTTGAAATTTATATTAGAACAAACACTTGTTTAAGGCAATTGATCAACTTTTTCCTGATCAGGAACTTACATGTACACTAAAAATTGTGAAGTATATATTGTTTATTTAGAAAAGAAGATATTTTTACCAAACCATGCTCAGATAACACCTGCCTATAGCAACAGTCTCACCAGACTAAGGCTACATGTCTGTGGATAGGCTAAAACTACAGCCAAACCTTCCTTAAATATCAATTGTTCATTGTTATAGTCAGATATGTCTTAAGCCGAAACTCCTGATTATCACTTCAGTCAAACTTACTTTAGACATAACCTGTTTATAACTTTAATCAGACCTGCTTAAGACACGACTTTTCTATAACTACATTCAAACTTTTAGACATCAACTCTCTAATATCGCCTATCTATAGTTACAGGCAAACCTGATTCAAGTATTACTTATCTATAGCTACAATCAAACCTGCTTTAGACATTAGATGTCAATAACTACAGTCAAGCAATCTTTAAATATCACCTGTCAATAACAACTAATCTGTCTGAGAGGTCACCAGTCTGTAAAACATGTCTAAGTATGACTACGGCACCCGATACGTTTGTTCTGATAAAGTTCAACTTGTTTGAGAACACTGACATCAAGCAATCTGATCGCCGTTTTTCTTAGTTTGCTATCTGTAATTACTCTAAAGACACTATTTCTGATAAGAGACAATTTTTGAGTCATTCCGTGGGAAAAATCACTACTCCAGATTTGACTGCAATGATTAGATTGAAGAATCATATGGAATACCACATCAATGTTTTCTGAGTGCATCATTAAGCTTGTTTAAAACTATGTCCTAGACCACAGGTAACCTACGTCGTACGTGACATAAAGACATCATCTACCACGCTAGAATATCCTTGTTATACAGACTGTTATTATGCGATCACTGACAGGATGTTTAACTCGGAATGCATTCTATCATTGAATTGTCCACTATTCTTTTCGACCTAGGCTCTGAACGAAGGGTCATGTAATTGGTATGCAGTAAAACCCCATTACACTGCCACCATTCGCCCAAATACAGTTTGGCGGTATGAAGGGGTTTGGCGATAAATAGAGGGAAATGTGAAGAGGAATTCTTAAGAAAACGCGAAAAAAAACCATAGAAATATGTTTGCGGATGACGAGATGGCAAATGAAACGAGGTTGAGTACATGAAGATGTTTCTGTATATTATATTGTCAAGACCTAACAACAATCAAAATGTGCGTACTCACGATTAAACCATCGATTAGGTACTCTCCCTGAACAAGCATACAGACTTCTATTATTTTATTTTTTCTGTTTTCCACAGTTCAGTGTGAACAAAGGATTAATCTCAAACAAGATGTTTTCCTATATTTGCTTGCTACGGATGGTCGGTTCATATATTGCGGAACTTGAAATGGTATTGATCATGTTTAATTCGACAAAAGCATGCTTACTTATGTGTGAAGATTTCATTTGACATGCTGACTTCCATAAACACATGATTACCTTTGAATGGGGATTCAAATATCCCTGATAATTCACTACTACCCTGTTCATATATCGTCTGAACACGGAATGCGTAAGAATATGCTGGAGGAAGTCCATGTGCTTTGTAACGATGAGTTTATCCTGCTAATAAATCACAATATATAAAGAAGTTATCATTTTGATATATTTTACCTTCAACGGCCATTGGAGTAGTTTGTGTAGGAGGAACAGTAGACGAGGATTTCTCAAGAACTTTGGAGACCTTAGTAGGAGGTAATGTGGAAGGGGACGTTGCTGACACCAGAGGGTCGCAACGCACACCCACATCTTCAGTATGTTTACAGTCATGTGTGCCCCAGCCACTAAATTTGCAGTCAACTAGTAAAGTCGCTTCCTTTCCACATGTGACGTCATCCATCCATATAGGACCGTCTCCTTCGCCATAGGGAGCACTGCTTTGCCATTCTCCGTAACCGCTGAATAAAAATATTGTAGGAATATGTATCACTTTCTTGGATTTCATTTCTGACAAACCCGATTCACTACACCATCATATATTGGCATAAAAAAACATACATAAAAAACACAGTAACAAGATGACCTAAACATGTGTAAGGATAAGCCGGGTTATGAAAAGAAGGCAACGGTCTTCCTGGTATCTAGTCACGGTCGACCAAGTCCAGCTTTGATGTCCATGTATTTACATTGTTGTGTCTTATTTGCACATGATTTGCTGGAAATGTAACGGAAACACAGGGTTCCGACAGGACATCTTAATCTAGGAAGTTCTTACCAACAGGCCGGCTACCTTGTTATTGAAGATCGACCTAGTCCGGATTCGCTACACATGTTTCCTAGCTGTTTACTTCATTCCTATATACATGGTCATGTCTTATCTGAGTAAGATATGCTCGGAAAAGTAATGGCAAGACCGGAAAGCAAAACTCGGAGCAACTGAAATCCTAAAGGAAGCCCTGTACAGCTATCAGGTTATGGGTAATCGACCCAGTCAAGATCCTCAATACGTACATCCCAGTTACAGAATTAGAATTACTACATACATTGTAGTTTATTACAACGTGGTGAATGCTTCTTGAATCGTACTTAAAATATAAGTTGTTATGTTACTTAATTACTGTAATAATTGCTATGCAGCTTGCTTGTATCCAGGTTGTTTAGTTAGGAACACGCTGCAATGGGAAAAGTAATGGCAAGACCGGAAAGCAAAACTCGGAGCAACTGAAATCCTAAAGGAAGCCCTGAACAGCTATCAGGTTATGGGTAATCGACCCAGTCAAGATCCTCAATACGTACATCCCAGTTACAGAATTACTACATACAACGTGGTGAATGCTACTTGAATCGTACTTAAAATATAAGTTGTTATGTTACTCAATTACTGTAGTAATTGCTATGCAGCTTGCCTGTATCCAGGTTGTTTAGTTAGAAACACACTACAATGTGCAATGTAACATACCTGTATAATGTATACAGCAACTTGCCTGTATCCCAGTGCTGACTCAGTTACTTAGTACAATGTGATGTAGCTTACCTGTATCCCAGTGTTGACTCAGTGACTGTATACAATGTGATGTTACTTACCTGTATCCAAGTGTTGGCTCATTTACTCATCATCAGTGTTGACTTACACATGTACTTTATACAATGTTACTCGTATCCCACCTAATATCATAAATAACTCTATAAATAATAAGTACTAATTGTAATGGGGTGGGGGGGCATTACAGATGTCCCCCAAACTGCCCTCATAGTCGCAAAAATGCATCAGAAATGGATCTCATTGCCATAGTACACCTACAATGTACATATTAAATCCTCCGTGTGGTTGCTATGTCAACGAAACATTTTGTGATTGAATTTCCAGTCCCCTTATACCCCTATATACCAATATTAATCGAAATTGAACAATATCTCAATTTCGACCAATCAAAAGCCTCCATGTGGTTGCTATGGCAACAAAACCTATGCGGTTGAAATTTCTTTCACCCTTATCTACCATATTTAAACAAAATTGAACAATTATCAAAATTGAACAATTTCTGAATTTGCACCTATCAGAAGCCTTCGTGTGGTTGCTATATGGTTGCTATGAAGACGAATCTTATGCTGTTTTATTCGCAGCAGTCCCATAATACCCTTATATACCAATTTTCATAAAAATCGAACAATATCTAAATTTCGAAAAATCAGAAGCCTCCGTGTGGTTGCTATGGCAACGAAACATATGCGGTTGAATTTGCAATCCCATTATACCCGTATATACCAATTTTCATCAAAATCGAACAATATATAAATTTCCACCAATCAGAAGCCTTCGTGTTATTGTGATACGGTTGCTATGATAATGAAACATATGCGGTTGAATGCACAGTCTCTTAATATCCCTATATACCAATTTTCATCAAAATCGAACAATATCTATATTTCGACCAATCAGAGGCCGCCGTCCGGCTTGGCTGACCAGTCAGTTGACCGATCGAAAAACAAAAATACTCTAGCGCACCGCCTGTAAATAAGTATGTGCCTTACCTATGTCCCAGTTGTGTACACACCACAGCGGGATTCTGTTTGCTGTGTTGCTGCCAGCCGTCGTCACATACTGTGCCCCACTCTCCAGAATGGTATATTTCCAACCTGCCCTCAAACACTGTGGAGCCATTAACCAAACGAATTGTTCCATCTACAACAAATACCATAAATAATATAATAGTATTCATCAAATAAACATGTACACGTATATTGACTTCTACACAATAAGTGTATCCTACTAAATCAAGTTGCTGCTACTAGACAATATTAGAGGATTGTATNTTACTACTAAATCAAGTTGCTGCTACTAGACAATATTAGAGGATTGTATGTTATGATTAGTTTCTATACGTAATTCATGCTAATTATCATTGTGCAATTTACCACTACTTTGTGTGTCTTTTCAGACCGTGTTCATTGCTGAATAAACATATTTAAAGTAAACGGAACAGAGTCCCATTAATGAACACGGTAAAATTCTGCAATGTATGGCGCTATTCTGTAGTTTTCCTCACACCAATCGATTGTAGCCGTTTGTTTTCTTCAGTACCCTTCTACAGGTGCCATAGTTAGGGTTCATATGTATTGAAAATAACTCGAGTGCTTTTTGTAAACAAACCGCAGCAAGGATTGGCATACAAGCCAATCACCACAATGCCAGCTGTAGCCTGCCCTATCACAGGCTGCGACTATGTCACGGATGACCTGGATGCCACTATCGTCGCGGCACTCATCACGGCTCACTCCGCTGTACACATACCCAAACGAGAACACGCTGCTAAAGTTGAGAAAGTTAAGCGACCCACGCTCAGTGCCGCAGGATCTAGCGAGGAGTGGGCATATTTCCAATCTCGGTGGTCGGACTATGTCAGTGCCACGAAAATCACTGGACGCGATAAAGTAATCCAGCTACTAGAATGCTGTGACGAGCCATTACGGAAAGACTTGACACGATCAGCCGGTGGTAGCCTCGCTGACAAAACCATGGATGAGGTTTTAGCTGCAATTAAAAAGCTCGCAGTACGTGAGGAAAACACTATGGTTGCAAGAGTGACGCTACACAATATGCGACAGGATCGTGATGAAACTGTCCGGAGTTACGGTGCTAGACTTAAAGGACAGGCCGGTATATGCAAGTTTGTGATTAAGTGCCCCGGATGTACAGCCGACGTCAATTACACTGACGCTATCATGCGTGACGTACTCACCCGGGGAATTGCCGATCCGGAAATACAACTTGATCTGCTAGGACACAAAAATCAGGACATGAATCTTGAGGATGTATTTCAATTTGTCGAATCAAAGGAAGCCGGTAAACGTTCAGCTTCTAGACTTTCAGATTCTCATCCAGTTGAGGCTGCCAGCAGCTCATACCGGAAAAGCAAGGCTGACAGACCGTCGTCCAAAGACACCTCCAACAAAGCAGAGCAATGTGCATATTGCGGAAAAAAGGGACACGGCAAGTCTGCCCTTGCTCGCATACGTAAAACAGAGTGTACAGCATATGGACACATATGTGGGCATTGCCATCGCGAANCTACAACGGAAAACGTTGGTCACTTAAAAGGTTACCTTCTTGACCACTACAAGTCTAGCACATTCAACACATGTGAACACCAGACTTTACCACTCATGAATGGACCTCCCTTGAAGCTCATGGTGGACTCCAACGCGAAACCTGTCGCTCACCATACACCAGTACCCGTTCCAATCCACTGGCAGGGTGCAGTAAAGGCTGGACTAGACCAGGATGTTCGTTTGGGGGTTATTGAACCTGTTCCGGTTGGTGAGCCTGTCACTTGATGCCATATAATGGTTATTTGTGCGAAAAAGAATGGTACACCTCGGCGCACTGTTGACTTCCAACCCTTAAATGCACATGCCACTCGCGAGACTCATCACACCCCTTCGCCATTCCACCAAGCCCGGTCTATTCCACATGGAAAGAAGAAGACATTATTTGATGCATGGAACGGTTATCACAGTGTACCCATCTGCAAAGAGGACAGGCACTTGACCACGTTCATTACTCCTTGGGGGAGGTACCGTTACAAAACTGCACCCCAAGGCTACATTGCATCGGGCGACGGATACACCAGGCGCTATGACGAGCTTGTTTCGGATATCACCAACAAAACCAAATGTGTCGACGATGTTCTTTTATGGTCAGACACTGTTGAAGATAGGTTCTTTCAGGCAATCCAGTGGCTTGACATATGCGGCCGTAACGGTATAACGCTGAACCCTGACAAATTTGTATTTGCAGAGGACACACTCGAATTCGCTGGGTTTGAAATCACCAACGATAGTGTACGGCCTTCACAGAAATACCTACGCGCCATCCTGGATTTTCCGACACCCAGGAACATCACAGATGTGCGGTCATGGTTTGGACTAGTCAATCAGGTGTCGTATGCCTATAGTATGACTGAGAATATGCTTCCTTTCCGTCAGTTGCTCAAACCAGATCAACCGTTTCAGTGGACTGAAGATCTCCAACGACTTTTTGAGGAATCTAAAATTGTCATTGCCAACGAGATTGGGCAGGGTGTACGGATTTTCGACCCAAGTAAATTGACGTGCTCGCGACAGACTGGTCAAAGACTGGCATTGGATTTTGGTTGCTACAAAAACACTGCGCTTGTGCTAATGAAAGCCTGCTATGCTGCCGTGATGGTTGGAAAGTTACACTCGTAGGTAGTCGGTTCACACATGCGGCAAAGACGCGTTACGCGCCGGTTGAGGGCGAGGCCCTAGCAGTAGCAGATGCCCCTGATAAAGCTCGCCACTTCGTTTTTGGGTGCGACAACTTGATCATAGCTGTTGATCATAATCCATTGTTGAAGTTATTTGGCGATAGATCACTGGAACACATTCCTAACAACAGACTTCGTAACCTCAATGAGAAAACACTACGATACTGCTTTCGAATGCTTCATGTGCCTGGCATACGACATCGTGCTGCGGATTGTATCTCCCTACATCCTATTGGTGAGCCTGAGAAATTTGTGCTCGAGGACGACATTGCAGCACTGTCATTTTCTGCCGTCGACATCGCCCACTTTGGTCTAATGAGCGGTCATGCATGCCTTCATCAGGACTAGCATTTGTCGAGGAGCGTGTCGTGGCATCAGCTTCTTCAACACCAGATGCGATCAATTTACGATCCGTCACCTGGGAGCGCGTTAGAACCACTACTACCAGCGATGACAAGATGCAGGCGTTAATCGCTCTGATAGAGGCCGGTATACAGGGAATCCGTCACGAGCTGCCTAGGCCACTGCAAGAATATTTCCCGTTCCGCGACGACCTTCATACGGTTGATGGTGTAGTACTTTATAAAGACAGAATAGTCATTCCACCATCACTCCGGGAAGAAACCATTGCCTCCCTGCATTCGGCACATCATGGGGTGACATCTATGTCTTCAAGAGCTGACGCGTCAATCTTCTGGCCTGGTATCACGCCTGCCATCTCCCCCCTACGCGCAACTTGTAACCACTGCAACCATATTGCTCCATCTAACCCGAATGCATAACCGACTCCTTTGATAACTCCTGACTATCCATTTCAATGCGTGTGTGCAGATTTCTTCCACTACATGGGCTGTAATTACCTAGTGGTAGTTGATCGTTATTCCAACTGGCCGGTGGTGGAGAAAGTCTCTGATGGTTCCAATGGTTTAATAGACTGTCTCCGAAGGACATTTGTTACTTTTGGTATCCCTGATGAACTAGCATCAGATGGTGGACCCGAGTTCACTTCTGCGGCCACACGTCGATTTCTCAGGAACTGGGGCATTCACCATAGACTGTCATCTGTAGCTTTTCCCCATAGTAACTGCCGTGCTGAAGTGGGAGTCAAAACAGTGAAGCGTCTGATCACCGGCAACACCAGTCCCAATGGCGACTTAAACACCGACGCATTCCAACGCGCTATTCTCCAGTATTGGAACACACCTGACAGAGACACAAAACTATCCCCTGCTATTTGCGTGTTCGGTCGTCCTATACGAGACTTTATTCCTATACCACCCGGTCGGTACATTCTACACAACACTTGGCTGGAGACTTTAGCAGCTCGCGAGGAGGCTTTACGGAATCGTCACATGCGAGAAAGTGAACGTTGGTCTGAACACACCAAACGCCTCTTACCTCTTGCAGTTGGAGATCATGTACGCATCCAAGTTGGTCCTCACCCCCTTAAATGGGACAAGACTGGAATCATTACCGAAGTATGCCAGTTTGATCAATATGTAGTTCGGGTTGACGGATCTGGCCGTGTTACCTTACGCAACAGGAAATTTCTCAGGAAGTATATCCCAGTCGTTACACCACCAGCGCGCTACACAATTGACAATCAAATTGGACTCTCCCATCGCACGACGTCTCCTACTTCTAACGCCCCAGACACCGTCGTCGGTGAAGAGAGCAACCCTCCCCGCAAGGATACAAGTCCTCCACCATCCACTCCGTTGACTACTAGAACCATACAACGTTCGCCTCGTTCATCATTTGATGTTGATCACCCTTCACCACCATTTGGTATTCGAGACATCTTTAGTCGACGTCATCTAGCGTTTGATTCTCCTACAACCCCAGTGAGCAAAATCACCACACACCCGGCAACGATGCCACCTATCTCGACACATACGCCACAAGCAGTAGTTCCGTCCCTTGCACCGATCCGGACTTCTGGTCGTGCCACAAAGAAACCAGCTTGGCATTCAGATTATAAAATGTCCAAATAACAATTGACTTGTTTCTACTTGGAACATTTCCTGTTATATCTGTTGTGCAACTTTTCACGGAGACTCAGTGCTTCATTTTGTTTATTTTAGGACAATTTGTCAGACATTTCTTAATAATTCTCATATTTCACATCAGTCTTTGTTCCTAGGACTAATACGAGTGACCCTATTACTTACGTATACCAAAGACTTGGGGGAGATAGAGGATTGTATGTTATGATTAGTTTCTATACGTAATTTATGCTAATTATCATTATGCAATTTACCACTTCTTTGTGTGTCTTTTCAGACCGTGTTCATTGCTGAATAAACATATTTAAAGTAAACAGAACAGAGTCCAATTTAAATATGACGTCTGAAAATGAGTCGATGTGTCTAAACAAATGTCAAATAAGTCGCCATAAAAATAGCATCTATTTGATAGTTAGCCATAGTAACACAGCGTTTTCATTGTCATATTTAATTGCTCCCATCCCGTTTATCCAGAACCGAAAATTAAGTCAAAGTTGACATGCTGACTTGCACAAAAACATGTTTACCTTTGTATGAAGATTCCAATATCCCTGATAATTCACTACTTCCCTGTTCATATATCGTCTGAACTCGGAATGCGTAAGAATATGCTGGAAGAAGTCCTGTGACTGTCACCGTCTTCGCCTCTTCATACAGCTGCTTGTATTCCCATTGGTCGATTGGCGTGCTAGTTACTGTTGTGTAGTAGACACGCACACCAATCATATCCATATCATTGTCCGGTAGATCCCAGGTTAGTGTGACAGTGTCCATAGGAAAACGTAACAGTCGTACGTTTTCAGGAAGTGGCAAGTCTACGGAGATAAAACATATTTGTGTTACCTTAAAGGCCCGGTCACAACCCACCGTGCGTGTTTTTAGTCCGTACACTTTTTGGGGAGGCCGCGGCCGCCACGTTTTTCTGAAAACGTGGGGAGGGAGTGGCAAGAGCAGGGAGAGAGTACGTCAACGCACGTCACTCGCACGGTTGCGCAAGGTGTAAGTACGTGGCCCGCACGCCACGCCTGGCCGTGAGCGGTTGCGTACATTGTACGTTGCACACGTGGTAAGTGAGTTGTACGTGCTTACAACTTGCTTGCAACGTACGATCTCCGTGCGATCGCCACGTTATCGTACGGAGGCCGTACTTACACGTGCTGCTCACGTACGGTGTCCTCACTCACTCTCATGTTGTTAGTGCGTGGAAGTGCGATGAATGTGAGTTTTTCCGCCCAATGTCGGGGGGGGGGGGGGGTATAGAACGACCTTCCGAGGTTCTCCAGAAGTCAGTATACTGCAGAAATCAGTGCGCACAACGTTCGTTGTAAGTGCGGAGCACGTGCTTACTCGGTACGGTCCACGTCAGTTCTGCGTGCTTATTGGACAGTAGAACTGGGAAAGTGCCGGGTAATCACAGACCACGCACTTATCACGTGCGCAGGAAGGGTTGGGTTGGGACCACGGCTTTACGTTAACTGATATACTTTATTTTATCTACGTTTTCATATTTAAAGCGGAAGTTCATTATTTGTATCTAAAATCTATTTATCTGTTAATAAAACAAGCAATTAAAAGGTAAACCATGTGCTTTGTAACGATAAGTTTATCCTGCTAATAAATCACAATATATTAAGAAGTTATCATATTGATATATTTTACCTTCAACGGCCATGGGAGTAGTTGGTGTAGGAGGAACAGTAGACGAGCATTTCTCGAGAACTTTGGAGACCTTTGTAGGAGGTACTGTGGAAGGGGACGTTGCTGACACCAGAGGGTCGCAACGCACACCCACATCTTCGGTATGTTTACAGTCGTGTGTGCCCCAGCCACTAAATTTGCAGTCAACTAGTAAAGTCGCTTCCTGTCCACATGTGACGTCATCCATCCATATAGGACCATCTCCTTGGCCATAGGGAGCACTGCTTTGCCATTCTCCGTAATCGCTGGGGGGAAATGTAGGAATATGTATCACTTTCTTGGATTTTATTTCTAACAAACCCGAGGCTGTGATTCACTACACCATCATTATATTGGCATAACAAACATTCGTAAAACACGGTAGATAAGCCGGGTTATGAAAAGAAGGCAACGGTCTTCCTGGTATCTAGTCACGGTCGACCATGTCAAGCTTTGATGTCCATGTATTTCAGCTGTCTACACTGTATCCTATATACATTGTTGTGTCTTATTTGCACATGATTTGCTGGAAATGTAACGGTAACACAGAATTCCGACCAGGACATCTTAATCTAGGAAGTTCTTACCAACAGGGCTACCTTGTTATTGAAGATCGACCTAGTCCGGTTTCGCTACACATGTTTTCTAGCTGTTTACTTTATTCCTATATACATGGTCATGTCTTATCTGGGTAAGATATGCTGGGAAAAGTAATGGCAAGACCGGAAAACAAAACTCGGAGCAACTGAAATCCAAAAGAAAGCCCTGAACATCTATCGGGTTATGCGCAGTCCAGATCCTCAATACGTACATCCCAGTTACAGAGTTAATACATACGTAGTTAGAATAAAGGTTGTTATGTTATTTAATTACTGTAGAATTTGCGATGTAGCTTGCCTGTATCCAGATTGTTTAGTTAGGAACACACTGCAATGTGCAATGTAACATACCTGTATAATGTAAACAGCAACTTGCCTGTATCCCAGTGTTGACTCAGTGACTGTATACAATGTGATGTAACTTACCTGTATCCCAGTGTTGACTCAGTGACTGTATACAATGTGATGTAACTTACCTGTATCCCAGTGTTGACTCAGTGACTGTATACAATGTGATGTTACTTACCTGTATCCCAGTGTTGACTCAGTGACTGTATACAATGTGATGTAACTTACCTGTATCCCAGTGTTGACTCAGTGACTGTATACAATGTGATGTAACTTACCTGTATCCCAGTGTTGACTCAGTGACTGTATACAATGTGATGTAACTTACCTGTATCCCAGTGTTGACTCAGTGACTGTATACAATGTGATGTAACTTACCTGTATCCCAGTGTTGACTCAGTGACTGTATACAATGTGATGTTACTTACCTGTATCCCAGTGTTGACTCAGTGACTGTATACAATGTGATGTAACTTACCTGTATCCCAGTGTTGACTCAGTGACTGTATACAATGTGATGTTACTTACCTGTATCCCAGTGTTGACTCAGTGACTGTATACAATGTGATGTAACTTACCTGTATCCCAGTGTTGACTCAGTGACTGTATACAATGTGATGTTACTTACCTGTATCCCAGTGTTGACTCAGTGACTGTATACAATGTGATGTAACTTACCTGTATCCCAGTGTTGACTCAGTGACTGTATACAATGTGATGTTACTTACCTGTATCCCAGTGTTGACTCAGTGACTGTATACAATGTGATGTAACTTACCTGTATCCCAGTGTTGACTCAGTGACTGTATACAATGTGATGTTACTTACCTGTATCCCAGTGTTGACTCAGTGACTGTATACAATGTGATGTAACTTACCTGTATCCCAGTGTTGACTCAGTGACTGTATACAATGTGATGTTACTTACCTGTATCCCAGTGTTGACTCAGTGACTGTATACAATGTGATGTAACTTACCTGTATCCCAGTGTTGACTCAGTGACTGTATACAATGTGATGTTACTTACCTGTATCCCAGTGTTGACTCAGTGACTGTATACAATGTGATGTAACTTACCTGTATCCCAGTGTTGACTCAGTGACTGTATACAATGTGATGTTACTTACCTGTATCCCAGTGTTGACTCAGTGACTGTATACAATGTGATGTAACTTACCTGTATCCCAGTGTTGACTCAGTGACTGTATACAATGTGATGTTACTTACCTGTATCCCAGTGTTGACTCAGTGACTGTATACAATGTGATGTAACTTACCTGTATCCCAGTGTTGACTCAGTGACTGTATACAATGTGATGTTACTTACCTGTATCCCAGTGTTGACTCAGTGACTGTATACAATGTGATGTAACTTACCTGTATCCCAGTGTTGACTCAGTGACTGTATACAATGTGATGTTACTTACCTGTATCCCAGTGTTGACTCAGTGACTGTATACAATGTGATGTAACTTACCTGTATCCCAGTGTTGACTCAGTGACTGTATACAATGTGATGTAACTTACCTGTATCCCAGTGTTGACTCAGTGACTGTATACAATGTGATGTTACTTACCTGTATCCCAGTGTTGACTCAGTGACTGTATACAATGTGATGTAACTTACCTGTATCCCAGTGTTGACTCAGTGACTGTATACAATGTGATGTTACTTACCTGTATCCCAGTGTTGACTCAGTGACTGTATACAATGTGATGTAACTTACCTGTATCCCAGTGTTGACTCAGTGACTGTATACAATGTGATGTTACTTACCTGTATCCCAGTGTTGACTCAGTGACTGTATACAATGTGATGTAACTTACCTGTATCCCAGTGTTGACTCAGTGACTGTATACAATGTGATGTTACTTACCTGTATCCCAGTGTTGACTCAGTGACTGTATACAATGTGATGTTACTTACCTGTATCCCAGTGTTGACTCAGTGACTGTATACAATGTGATGTTACTTACCTGTATCCCAGTGTTGACTCAGTGACTGTATACAATGTGATGTTACTTACCTGTATCCCAGTGTTGACTCATTTACTCATCACTAGTGTTACTCGTACCCCACCTTTTATGATAAATAACTATAATTAAGTATGTGCCTTACCTATGTCCCAGTTGTGTACACACCACAGCGGTATTCTGTTTGCTGTTTTGCTGCCAGCCGTCGTCACATACTGTGCCCCACTCTCCAGAATGGTATATTTCCAACCTGCCCTCAAACACTGTGGAACCATTCATCAAACGAATTGTTCCATCTACAACAAATACCATAAATACATGTAACATAATAGTATTCATCACATATACATACATTCTACACAATATGTGTATCATACTAAATCAAGGTGCTGCTACTAGACAATATGCGTCTGAAAATGAGTCGATGTGTCTGAACAAATGTCACATAAGTCGCCATAAAAATAGCATCTATTTGATAGTTAGCCGTAGTAACACAGTGTTTTCATTGTCGTATTTAATTGATCCCATCCCGTTTATCCAGAACCGAAAATTAAGTCAAAGTTGACATGCTGACTTGCACAAAAACATTCACTATAACCCTGTTCATATATCGCCTGAACACGGAATGCGTAAGAATATGCTGGAAGAAGTCCTGTGACTGTCACCGTCTTCGTCTCTTCATACAGCTGCATGTATTCCCATTGGTCGATTGGCGTGCTTATGGCAAGCCAACTAACATTTATTCAAGGAGCAATGTCGATCCTGTATTTCAAAAAAAAAATATAGGATATCTTATATAGCATATGAGATATGTTATATACTATAAAAGATATCTTATATCGTATATAATATATCTCATATAGTATATGAGATATTTTATATCGTATATGAGATATCTCATATAGGATATAAGATATCTTATATACTATATGAGATATATTATATAATATATAGGAATCTTATATCCTATATGAGATATCTCATATAGAAATTAAATGAGATATCTTATATAAGTATATAAGATATCATATATACTATATAATATATCTTATATCGCATATAAGATATCTCATTTAATTTTCTATATAAGATATCTCATATAATATATAAGATATCTCATATAATATATAAGACATTTCATATAGCTATATAAGATATCTTATATAATTGAAATATCGTTGCTATATAAGATATCTGATATAGAATGAGATTTCGTGGCATTAAAAACCAGAAACTAATTTCTCCCTCGAAAATCATTCCGAGCACATTCAGGATTGCATTGGGCGCAATGGCGGAGAGGGATGGTACGGATGCTGTATTTTCCCTAGGCCTAGCTCGCCTTGTCTCTCTTATAGCGGAACAAAGCAGAGGCTGCCATTTCCCGCACTCTTGAATTGGGCTCAAACATAATGGCGGCGACAGGAACACGTGTTGTTACAACAAGCCTACTGTCCCTACGTAGATCCTCGAAATATTCCGGACGGGGAGACTTCATTTTCGACATTTTGTTAAAATCTCGTTCCTATATAATATATCTTATTTAGTAATGAGACTTTAATTATATAAGATATATTATATAGCTATATGAGATATCTTATATATTATATAAGATATCTTATATAGAAAATTAAATGAGATATATTATATACGATATAAGATATCTTATATATCATATAGGATATCTTATATAGCATCTCATTTAATTTCTATATAAGTTCTCTCATATAGTATATAAGATATCTTATATATTATATAAGATATCTCATATGCTATATAAGATATCTGATATATTTTTTTGAAATACTGGATCGACATTGCTCCTTGTTAAGTTGGCTTGCCATACGTGCTAGTTACTGTTGTGTAGTAGACACGCACACCAATCATATCCATATCATTGTCCGGTAGATCCCAGGTTAGTGTGACAGTGTCCATAGGAAAACGTAATAGTCGTACGTTTTCAGGAAGTGGCAAGTCTACGGAGGTAAATCTTATTTTTGCTACTTTTACGTAAACTGATATGCTTTATTTTATCTACGTTTTCATATTTAAAGCGGAAGTTCATTATTTGTATCTTGTTATGCACCTTTAAGTCATACAGTCGTTTTCTGTTCCTGTTATTTGGTCTGTTATCAACATGTTATATGTTGTTGAGCATGTTTATATATGCCGTGAACCAGGAATGGAATTGCGACATAAATAAGGTCCGCATTTCCTGAACTCTTATTGGCTAAGAAGAATTGATGTACATGTATATTTACTAAAAAGTGTTTTTTACATGCATGTAAACATTGCCCTTTATTTCATCACTTCAAAATGCTCCCTGCCAAACGTAGCTACTTTCGTTTTACACTATGCTTTTCATCTGGAATGATCAATAGACAGCATAATTTCCTAACTATTGATATAATAGTAGACTTTTATTTTGTGAATGTGTAGATTTTAGGACCTGAAGGCAACTGGTAAAATCACCTAAATTGTACAGAGTTATGTATATTGGCCCACTCAACAGGATGATAAATGAACCTAATCAAAACACATTATTATCTTTTATTGACGGTTAAGATATTTCAATTAATGCGGTCTACTAGTAATTCATTAAAAAGTATCTGTAGACAGACATACATTGGTAACTCTGACTGTACAGACATAATTTGGTAACTCTGACTGTACAGACATAAATTGTTAATTTTAACTGTACAGACATAAATTGGTAGCTCTAACCGAACAGACATAAATTGGTAACTCTAACTGTACAGAAAATTTATTTATTTTATTCTCAAGCTTCCAATTTATGCCAGCCATCTTGAAATTGTCGGCCATCTTTAAAACTTTTATT